AGGGATAGGTGAGTCTGCCCCCTGCCACACATCCCAGCCCTGCTCCCCCCCCCACATACATCTCCCAGCCCTGCCTCCCTCCACACACACACACATACACACACACACACCCCAGCCCTGTCCCCTCCACATGCATACATAGCCCTGCACCCTCCTTGCACATACACACACACACACACATTCCAGCCCTGCCCCCTGCACACACACACCCCCCAGCCCTGCCCCACCCAGGGCCTGTTGCAGCCATCTTGGCGCAGTGTGGTCTGGGCACTGAGGCCTGCTCTCCTTCCAGCCTCGTGATCTATGAAGACCGTGGTGCTTGGAGCTCTGGGGAGGGAGCTGATTTCAAGGAGAAGGCTGTGACCCAGGGCGCAGGTACCAGGCTGGGTGTGGTGAGTCCCCTCCTCTCTGCCTGTCCCCTCACCACCACCAGGCCTGCACCCAGGCTTCCACTCAGGAACCCAGCCTGGGCACAAATGTCTCAAGTGCCTGTGGCATTGACAGCTCATGAGACACATGGTGCTGCCCATGTGACACTAACAAAGTCACCTGCAAGAGGGTAGCTTTTGCTGTCTCATTTTACAGACAGACAGACTGAGGGGCAGGAGAATGAGTGCCCTGCCTAAGGTCCCCAGGGCTGTGGCCATCTCCTTCCTGTGCTGGTCAGTTCTCCAGGACCCAAGGGCAGCTCCCCAGTCCAGGCTGCTTTTCCTTTGTCCACCTCAGGGGCAGCAGTGGGGACTGTCATGGAGGGCCATCACCTGCACCTGCCAGCTGCTCCCTAGAGCTCAGGAGGACCTGGGGACTCCCCACTGCCCATCACTTGGCACCAACCATCAGCAGGAATTGTGAGCAGAGGGGCAAGGGAAAGTCACTCCTAGGATCGGGATGCTTCATCTACTTAGGGCTCTGTTTCTCCACACCCCCTCCACACTTGTTATTTTATGTTTTTTTTTTTTTTTTTGAGTAGTCGCCCTAATGGATGTGAGGTGCATCTCACTGGGGTTTTGGTTTGCATTCCCTTAATGCTTTGTGGTCCTGAGCATCTCTTAATGTACCTCTCAGATGTTTGTGGGTCTTTTCTGGGGAAATGTCTGTTCAAGTCCTTTGCTCATTTTTTAACCACATTGTTAGATACTTCATTGTAGTTGAGTTTTTTTGATTGGACAGTTTAATTCACCTAGATCTCAAGTAATTACAGATAAGGAGGAACTTACTTTCTTCTTTTTTACTTGTTTTCTGCCCTGTAGTTCTTTTGTTCCTGCATTACTACCTTTTTGTGTTTAATTGGTTTCTGTAGTGAATGCTTTCATTTATTTCTCATTTCCTTTTCTGTATATTCTATAGGTATTTTCTTTGGGGTCACCATGGGGATATCCTTTAACATCTGAAAGTCATCACACCCTGATCTGTGTCTGTAACAGCTCAGCATCAATAATGTCCAAGACCCTGCTTCCCACACAGCTATGTCCACCCCGTTGTCATTGGCAACATCATAGAATTACATCTTTGTACACTGTGGGCCATGAAACATGAGCTAAGTCTTTTTTTTTAAAGATTTATTTATTTATTTGAAAGTCAAAGAGTTACACAGAAAAAGAAGGAGAGTCAGAGAGACAGAGAGAGAGGTCTTCCATCTGCTGGTTCACTCCCCAATTGGCCGTAATGGCCAGAGCTGCGCCGATCCAAAGCCACAAGTGAGGAGCCAGGAGCTTCTTCCAGGTCTCCCACATAGGTGCCAGGGCCCAAGGACTTGGGCCATCTTCTACTGCTTTCCCAGACCATAGCAGAGAGCTGGGTTGGCAGTGGAGCAGCCGGGACTCAAACCAGTGCCCATATGGGATGCCAGCACTGCAAGCAGTGGCTTTACAGCTACGTCACAGCGCCGGCCCATGAGTTAATGTTCTTTAAGTCCCTCTTGTGGAATTAACAAGCTAGAGTTATAATACTACCGGCTTTTAGATCAATCATTTTTAACAGTGTATTTATGTGTTAAATTGTGTGGAATACCAATTATAGAGTTTCAAAACTTTGCTACAACAATGCTAGCGTTTCTCGTTGCCCAAATCTCACCTTCACTGAGAACTTTACTCTTCCTGGCATTTCCAGTTCCCATCTGGTGCCCTTTCACTCCAGAGCTCCTGGGAGCATTTCTTGCAGGGAAGGTGGGAATGAGCTCCTCAGCTTTTGCTTACCTGGGAATTCCCTAATGTCTCCCTCACTGTTGAAGGACAATTTTGCTGGACACAGAATTCCTGGGAGACAGCCTTTTCCTTAACCCCTTGAACAGAGCAGTTGGGAAGGGGCCTCCTTCACGGCTGTCCTACCTCAGGTGGTTGGCCATCAAGGTACCACGGGAAGGATCTGCAGAACTTGGGAGCTACTTGGGCAGAGGCTAGGCGGGGGACTGCCTGGATGGAGACCCCCAATCCCTGCTCCCATGAAGCCAGGAGCCCCTCGGCCAAGCAAGTGCCTGCCAAACAGATGCCTGGGCTTGGGGATGTTGGAAGAGCCAGCTGGACATGAGTCTGTGGCACAGTGGGGAAAGATAGGGCGAGAACAGGGGAGTGTGGGGCAACTGTGGGAACTGGAGACAGAGATGGACACAGGGAGAGGGCAGGACAGACCTAAAGCCTCAGGGAAAGTGTGGGCAGACCCTCAGGAAGGTGGTTGAGGACTGGGAGACCCACCCTTAGGGGAGGCAACTGCCTGCCCAGCTCTGCTGCCAGCTCTTGTCAATCACAGCTACTCAGAGGAGGTTCTTCCTGTGGCCCCTGCTGCCGCCTTTCCCTGGAGTGTCCTTCCTGCCCTGCTCACATCGGGCCTCATCCCACTTTCCCTCTCCGTGGGGTCCTCCTCCCCATAGCCTGCCTCTTCCTGCAGGCAGGCCTCCCTCCTCTTCCTGCAGCAGGCCTACAAGTCCCAACCTCTGAGTAAGGGAAGAAGGGGCTAAGTCACTCCCAGCCGGGACCACTCCCAGCTGCTCATCCCAAAGTCTCACTGCCCAGACCTCTTCCTGCAGGAGCACCAGTCCTGGCCCAGACCTTGGAAGACTTCAGCATCCGCACACTCTACGACAAGCTTGAGGACCAGAGCCTGCACATGGCAGCCCAGCTGAGCAAGCACAGGAGTGACGCATTGACCTTCTACAAGACTGCCAGCCAGCAGCTCCAGGGGCTCCAGGTCAGCTGCATCCCCAGAACCTGGATCTGGACTGAGCTCAGAAGGGCACAATCCCAGATCACTGATGCATCCTGGTTCCCTCAGGACTTTCTGCAGGGCCTCCATGCAACAGGGCTGCAAGCTCTGGGCAGTGGCCAAGACTCTGAGAAGGGGGCCAAAGCCACTGCCCAGACTGACGCCCAGCAGTGTGAGGAGGCTGGGGGCAGCCACACTGCAGCTTCCACCCCGAAATGCCAGCAGCCACTGACAGGTGAGAGAGGGGTGGCCCGGCAGGACAGCAGGTGGACGGTTATGTTATCCACTCACATTGATCATCTCACTCGGTGCTCAGCAGCAAGGTCGTCACCAGACACCCCCACCCCAGTCCCAGAAGGCAACACAGGGCCCAGAGCCTTGGGATGCGATGGGCCACATGACCCACTTATCCTGTAAGCTCCCATGGAAGAGAGAGCCCACGCAGCTCTCTCCTCTGCTAGAGGAGGGAGCCAGCCCAGCCCTCCTACACCAGAGGCAAGACCCTGGGACCCCAGTGTCTCCAGGGTGGTGTCCTCCCAGCCTCCTGGATGCAGCTGTAAACACAGGATAGTATCACCTCACTGAACCCCTGCAGCTGTCCCAGGAACCCTGTGTGTGATGTGATCATCAACTCCATTTATAGTGGAGGGAACTCGGGCTTAAGGAGGCCAACAGTCCTGCCCGAGATCAGGCCAGAAACCCATCTCAGCTCCACACCCGCCTCCCTCTGAAAGGCTACAAAGTCACTGACCTTACCTGACCCGAGGCCCCAGGCTCCCATTCCCACACCCAGCCTCAGGCCTCCAGGAGCTCCTGATCCTTTCAGGGAGAAGGGCCAGCCCCGCCTGCTGAGTCACATCCCCCATTTCCTCAGTGCAGGTCGCCCTCCAGGTAGGAATGGGCCCCTTGGATGTGTGTTTGGGCCTCAGGTTCCAGCACTGGGAGCCCATATGGGGTCCTCAGATGCAGGGGCCTCCAGATGCAGGCCCTGGAGAGGGGCCCTGGGGAGCAGACCAATGCCAGAAGCCTGCTCGTGCTGTCCATTACCCAGCCTGGGGCAGGCCTTCCATGAGCTTCTCTTCAAACCAATCCCCCTTTTCAAATGTTCTTTGGAACGCACCTGGCTGGGACATGTGGCCCAGTGAGTGGAAAGGACCAAGACAGCCACGTTCCTCTGAAACCTGCCTGAGACTGTGTAACCCTTTCCTAAAAATGCCAGACTCCTCTCTGCTCATGGCTCAGCACCAGGCCAAGCTATCACTAATGACAAAACAGAGGATTCATTTTTTTTCCTATTTTTTTTTTTAAAAAATGGAGATGATGAAAATTCAATTTAATAACAATAAATTAATAATAGTAAAACAATTAAGCAACATTTTAATCAATTACCCTATAATCTGGAAACCCCAAACATCCCACTGCTGACCCAGGAGACTGTCCTCATGTAGCTCAGGTGGGCGTGGGTGCCACTGGCAGCTGCAGGCTCCAGGCTGTGAGCAGAACACAGTATATGGCAGGAGGGAGTGGCACCATGAGAAGTAACAGAGGGGACAGAAAGGTGGGGAGACCTCT